TTTTATTTAATTTCGGTTACATTTACATAATGGCTAATTATGGCCATAAAGTGTGAATGTTACAACTTTTGTAATTTTCACACTTTATGGCCATAATTAGCCATTATGTAAATGTAACCGAAATTAAATAAAATGTCTTAAAATACAATAACTCTAAATTATAACCCACCCAAATTTACAACAATCAAACTTTATTCTTCTTCAATGTAGCATGAATTGAAACATCTTTTGATAATTTTGACAACCTTTTCTTCACATCTTCATTGAAGCATATTGTATGATTGATGTCTCTTGGTTCATATCATTTTTATGTCAGCAAAAGAAGCCAAGCTCATGGCATTGTTGATGTTGTACAAAGGGGATTGAACGCTCAAATCCAAAATTGGAGATTGACTCTTCTTACCGGGGGTTAATATTGGATTCCCCATTACTATTCATCCTATTCATTATTAATCTGGAATATATAAGTAATTCATAATCATACCGTTAGGATTGATCTAAACCAACTCATTATGGATACAATGAAACTCAACATGCCAACAAACAAACAAACAACTATTAACCAACTTATTAGAAAGACAAGACAGCCAATCAGAAATATCACCACCTGCCCTTCGGGGATGCCCTCAGCGTCGAGGAAGATGTACTAGGGTGTATGTGCGACTCGTTCAGACCATGGACCGGGACAAAAGAAAGTAGAAAATGGGTCCCGTATTAGTGAGAAATACCAGTGAATAGGATAGATAGAAGGAATGGAAGAACTCTACCTCTGGCTACCTAAAAAGAAAGAAAGAAAGAAAAAAGATTGATCGTATCCTTTTTAGATGAGAAAGAATTAATTTCCCATTGGGAACAAATGCAGCTTATCCATTAAGCAAAGGAAATCCTATTTCACAGAAGAGAAGGATTATGGCCTTCCTTATTCTTCCAAGAACGGACTAAGAGGGTCAGCTACCCAACAAAACTCATCCTCATAATTAAATACCGTTACTGTATAGGTAGATCTCCTTGTGAAAGACTGGTTACTAGCTAATTCATGGGTAGAGCCAAAGAGGGTGAACTGTACAAGTTAACAATAACATGGATGAAATCAAAGAAGGAGCTCAGCTCCGGTGTATAGAGAGGACCTCACCGTTTAAGAAGTAACCATAGAAACGAAGGAACCCACTATTTCTTTATCCATTGCTATTTAGGGGTGACTAGAACAAAAAGGAAATCGTGGTCGGGAAGGTTATAGTAGCAAAAGCCATCGACATTTAGATACATTACATTGGCAAAAATCCCTTTTGTTATTAATAGACTAGGAAGGAAAGGAGAAAGGAGGACTAACTGAAAGAAAGGAAATCCATTAGTTATTCATCAAAGATTTATTCAATGACTAGACTGGAACGAGGATATATAGCTCGGAGACGTAGAAAGAAGAAAAATGTGTTTATTTGCATCAAGCTTTCGAGGGGCTCATTCAAGACTGACTGGAACTATTAGATTACTTAATAGAAAATCAGAGCTTTGGATTCAGGGGATAGAGGTAGGCAAGCAAAAAAGCTATTTTCGACAGTTACAGTTGTGCTCGAATAAATACAGTCATTTGATAGGAATAAGGTAGACTACAGTTATAGTAGATTCATACACAATCCGTACAAGAGGCAGTTGCTTCTTCATCGTCAAATACATACTGACTTTCCCGCCCACTATATTAAATAGGAATTGTCTTTCCATGTGATTTCCAATGAGATCAATAAGAAGATTGGGGAAAGAATCCAGCGCAATGCTTCAAATGGAGTTCCCTCCAGAATAGAATGAACTCAGAGAAGGTCAAGTATCAAATCAGTATGTATGAGCATTCAATCAAAAAAAGAGGGAGGGAGGTAAGGAATGAATCTTCTCCTTTTTACGACACGAGAATCAAATCTAGATTTGGGTGGGGGTATTTTTCGAACAAAGCATCAATCGGCGGTTGAGTTTGTATTTGCATTTGAATTCAATTGAAGAGTCAGCCTATTTCTTCTTCTTCCTGGTTCTAAGACCAATAGTTCCAGCGGTAGATGCCCTTCTTTCTTTCGTCTTCTTTCTCATTACTAAGGAAAAGGTAACAAAGATCAAATACGAGCTTGTTTTATAGCAATACTAATTAAGAAGCATTGCTGTTTTAAGGTCAATCTATTTCCCCGGCCGGCTAGATCAGATTTGTCCTTGTTCACTAAGAAATCGACTAATTCAACTCATCTTTCTATAAGTAATGCCCCACCAAAGAATTGAATCGGGGGCAAACGCCTACGAAAAGATCGTTTGGATTTAAGGAGTCTCTTGGATTTATCCATGGTTTCCTTCTATGTTCAATAGAAAGTTGAATAGATGTCCGCATCTTCCTTGGATTGTAAAAGGGTGAGACACAGAGGATTGGTTCGATCTACTTCTTTATCTCCGCATGAATCGTATGTTTGTAACGTGGCCAGACAGAATTTGCTCAATTCCAATCGACTAGGCGTATTGTGTCGATTCTTTTGTTTGAGTAATCAATCCCTCTGGCTGTAAATCCCCACCCTTCCTTATTCACACCGTTTCGAACACAAGGAGTGAGTACAGAACAGTGACTCGGGCATCTTTACCCTTGGCCATGAACCTCCCTTGTATTTTGATTCCCGCACAACTCTTCTATTTTCCGATCCAATCCAAAAGGAAGAAAAAAAGAGAAGTTGGTAACTCTCATTCAAATAGAAAATCTAGTCTACTAATACACGGTTTTGCATTTAAGTATCTTGGTTGTATGATACTGTTGCCCTAGCCATCCATTACATTTTCATTTTCGTTCTCACCATTCAATTGGAACCCCGCCCCGAGTCCAAGTTTGACGTAAGTTGATTCCTGTTTAGTTTGATTCTTTCTCTTTTCTAACTTATTCTAAGTCTAAAAACTCTGAAAAGAAGGGGAAGTGGATTAGTCACAGCTATTTTCTTGTTTTTCTAATCTTCTTCGGCAATAGCTAGAATGAAAAAAAATGGGAATACCACTGCATCCGGGAATAAACAATTGATCTCGATTAATAGACCCGCTAAAGCCCCGAACCATATAATACTTACTACCGGTGCCCCGTAGAGATATCTTTTTAGATCTCGCATTGAAACCCCTCCTACTTGATATAAATTTGTAATACATATAGGTGGGTGGGTATTACCATGAAATGTCTATATAGTGAATAACCGCGCTTGTTAAGTCTTTATTATTCTGAATATACGAGACTACTAAAGAGGAAATGGCAAGATAATTTGTCTATCTATCCCAATGGAGGAAATCAATCCAAAATGTGTAGTGGAAAACAAGACAGAGATTCTTTCTCTACAATGAGACTGTAGACCAATTTCAAGGGATGTAGCGCAGCTTGGTAGCGCGTTTGTTTTTGGGTACAAAATGTCACGGGTTCAAATCCTGTCATCCCTACCCCTATTACTTCTGAACAGTAACGAGGAATCAATGGAGATCCATATGATATGTGATATGAACCAAGAGACATCATTCATACAATATACTTCAATGAAGATGTGAAGAAAATGTTGTCAAAATTATCAAAAGAGGTTGCAATTCATGTAATTTAGAGTTATTGTATTTTAAGACATTTTATTTACTTTAGGTTACATTTACATAATGGCTAATTATGGTCATTAAGTATGAATGTTACAACTTTTGGAATACCTTTAATAGTTTCATTTTGAGGCTATAAAAAGCCATGTATGTTGTATTTGTAATTAGACTTAGAAAATGTAGTAAAAGAAGCATATGTTCTCTTCTTTAGCCAATGGCTAAGTTTCTTTGCAATTCTATGTAGTTTAGGTTGCATGTAGAATCATTCAAGCTCGACATGATCAATCTTTCTTGTGGAGTGATTCGAATCTCAATCAAGTGTTCTTGCGTTGAGATATTTGATCAACAAGAATCATTCAGGCTAGACATGATCGATCTTGCTTGTGGAGTGATTCGAATCTCAATCAAGTGTTCTTGTCTTGAGATATTCGATCAACAAGGTAATCCGAATCTTATTCCCCTTGTATTGATTCCTTATCTTATCATTTGGTATCAGAGCTTCAGGCTCAAGATCGGATATATGTTTTGATATGAACCAAGAGACATCAATCATACAATATACTTCAATGAAGATGTGAAGAAAAGGTTGTCAAAATTATCAAAAAGATGTTTCAATTCATGCTACATTGAAGAAGAATGAAGTTTGATTGTTGTAAATTTTGGGTGGGTTACAATTTAGAGTAATTTAGAGTTATTGTATTTTAAGACTTGTTATTTAATTTCGGTTACATTTAAATAATGGCTAATTATGGCCATAAAGTAGGAATGTTACAACTTTTGGAATACCTTTAGTAGTTTCATTTTTTAGGCTATATAAAGCCATGTATGTTGTATTTGTAAGGTAGACTTGGAAAATATATTAAAAGAAGCATTTGTGCTTTTCTTTAGCCAATGGCTAAGTTTCTTTTGCAATTCTATGTAGTTTAGGTTGCATGTAGAATCATTCAAGCTCGATATGATCAATCTTGCTTGTGGAATGATTCGAATCTCAAACAAGTGTTCTTGCGTTGAGATATTTGATCAACAAGAATCATTCAAGCTAGACATGATCGATCTTGCTTGTGGAGTGATTCGAATCTCGAACAATGTTCTTGCCTTGAGATATTCGACCAACAAGGTAATCCGAATCTTATT